AATAGTATAGAAAAAGTTAGTAGTAGTTAGTAGTAGGTAGTAGTGGTTAGTTGTAGTTAGTAGTAGCTAAGAGTAGTTCGTCGTCGTCGTCGTCGTCGTCGTAGTAGTAGTAGGAGGAAAAGCGCGCGTGTTACAGTGTCTTCAGCTGATGGCAGGTGATTGGCAGAGTTCCTTTTATCTTGTTTGTTTGACATGGAAGACGCTGAGCGGGGTTCAGTGATGGGCTCAAGCGGACATGGATGCTCTGGTAACAAGGACGTTATCATTGTGCGGACATAAGTGCTCTGGTAACAGGGACGTTATCGTCGTGCGGACATGGATGCTCTGGCCATTCGCACGCCGTGAAGCCACGAAGTGTCGCAAATTCCGATGTCTTTGCATGGAGGTTATCTTCGCGCGGACATGGATGCTCTGGCCATGCGCACGCAGTGGTCACACAAACGTTATCATCGCGCGGACATGGATGTTCTGGTAACACGGACGTTGTCATCGTGCGGACATGGGTGCTCTGGTAACACGGACGTTACCAGTTGTCATCGTGTCAACATGGATGCGCTGGTAACACGGACGTTATCATCGTGCGGACATGGATGCTCTGGCCATTCGCGCGCAAAGAAGCCACGAAGTGTCGTAAACACCGATGTTTCAGTTTAACAGCCCCAAACCCAAACTGGCAAGGCGTACGTTGCAAGTACACGGAACAACAAGAAAAAAGGAAGGCGGACTGGAGCATGAAATATGCGCAACACCTAGGCCTTAGCAGTAGGAAGCCTAGAAAAGTGCACCATCGTGAATGGTACCAGCGTCTACTAGTAGTAGTAGTAGTCGTCGTCGTCGTCGTCGTCGTCGTCGTCGTGGTAGCAGCAGTACCAGTACCAGTACCAGTACCAGTACCAGTACCAGTAGCAGTAGCAGTAGCAGTACCAGTAGCAGTAGCAGTAGCAGTAGCAGTAGCAGTAGCAGTAGGAGTAGGAGTAGGAGTAGGAGTAGGAGTAGTAGTAGTAGTAGTAGTAGTAGTAGTAGTAGTAGTAGTAGTAGTAGTAGTAGTAGTAGTAGTAGTAGTAGTAGTAGTAGTAGTAGTAGTAGTAGTAGTAGTAGTAGTAGTAGTAGTAGTAGTAGTAGTAGTAGTAGTAGTAGTAGTAGGCGTCGTCGTCGTCGTCGTCGTCGTCGTCGTAGTAGTGTAGTAGTAGTAAGTAGTGGGGGCGTTGTGTGCACAGTTGGTTGGGGGATAAGAATGTCATTCGTATTGCGTCCATGCCCATAACACTGGTATTTGCAGGATTTTCGTTTTTTTGTAACATGTCTTGCGCAAGGATGTGGAGCAAGAACATCTTTCACAGGGCAAGTGGGGCAAGTGGCAAAAATAAGTTTTTGGTGCTGGCCTGCACACCCACTGCACTGGTAGAACGGACGGCTGGTAGGCAAAGCGCATGACCCGAAGTCTGCTGCCGTCTGCCTACCATCAACAACCACTTAATATCAACCATCAAAACGACTTGTCCATCTTTCAAAAAAGGGGATGAGTTTAAGGCTTTCATCGATGTCAAGGAACCAAGTATAATTTTAGAATCAAAACAATTCCACTTGCGCTGCCTTTCGGTGCCAGCACGGACACGCAGTCGAGAATCCCTGGCCAATGTGCCACATAAACATGGGCAAAACTTTCAGCCTGGCTGTGAACGGCACACTTCGACGGTTGTTCTTTCCTATCTCAGACGTTTCGAAGTCTGCCCAGGAGTCGGCAGAGTGCTGGAAGTGTGCTGGATGCTCGAGGTTTCGAGCTAGAAGACAGGGGGACCAAACACAACCAAAACGAACAATTTTTCGTGGAGTGCAACTTGGCTCCCGACGATACGCGCACGACGTCATACTTCCTCAAAAGCTTCAGGAACCCCAGCATCGAAAGCAGCCAGCGAAAACGTGCAAACACCGGCCGGCGTTGCACGGCTAAGGTACTGCATGCGGGAGGCGTTGCAGGGGCAACGCAGAAAGTAGTAGCCGACCTGGGCATCCTGCAGCCGACCTACGGCGCGAAGCGCAGTGATTTGTTTGTCCGAAACCCTGCGGCAGAAGGTGGAGCAGTATGTTTCAGAGCCATGAAAAACTTAAGGATTTCAAAGTTGCCTTCACCATTAACCGTGCAACCAGCAACCAGGAAGGGATCGAAATTGACCCGGTGATATGCGCCAGCTGATGCCGCAGCAACAAGGTTGGAGAATTGCAACTCAACTGTAGGCATGACGGTCTTCAAGTGACGCACAGCACGGAGGACCTCAGTGGCTTCACCTGCCAGGAGGCCATCATCAGCGAAGCATGGGGCCATATCAAGCTGTATTGGAGGCGAGAGCTGGGGCAACACCACGCCTGTAGCAACAGGAGGTTCAACCAACCCCAAGGATTCCCAGAGCATGCGATGCACGACAGCGTGGCAAGCTGTCATGAGCGGGCAACCCTGCTGGCCTCCAGCCGAGGGGTGCGGTACACGCTTGAACCCACCCGAGAAATCCTGTAGCTGCAGGAAGCTGCATCCCGAGCACGCGAGATGCATGTTGCGCTTCATCGGCTGTGTCAGTTCTTGCTCACCGACGCAGCCCAGAGGGCCCTGCTGAGCAGGCTAGATGACGGAAGGATCATCCTTGGAACGCAATGTGTGCAAAATCGGTCTATTAAAATTGGAAGCGAAACTTGAAATAATTTCGTGAGAACATCTTTGGAGGAACATGTGGGTGATGTACTGCAAGTGCGATGTTTGAAATTTGGACAAAGTTTTCCATGAACTTCTAAGTAAAAAGTACTGGCCCAGTTGAGAGCCCCGCCAGGGTTTAGTGGGAACTCCACAAAGAGGAAGGAGCGGCTGTCAACCTTTGAGCTCTCGAGGTAGGTGTCGTTGAAGCCGGTCAGACGGAACATGCACAACTGATCGGCCCAAGCTTTGTCTGATTTGAACGGGCCCCTGGCAAGGACAGTTTGCTTGGATCAGAGTTTTGAACCGGAAAGCAAACTTCAATTTGAGCTAGGGAGGATATGCTTCTTTGCACCGAGGGCGCTTGTTTCGTTCATCAGGGACTTCTTACCCAAACAGAATTACTCGTGGCGCCATTTTGTCGAGCAAACATTCATACATGAGCTCCTTTCGTATATTCGACGAGAAGTTTTGGGTTTTGTGTAAACTGTAAAGATTGCATCAGCAGCTCGACCAATAGCAAAAGAGAACGGGCAGGAAAATTCTGGAGTTGCGGAGTCGTGACGGCCCGGGCTTGCGTGTATGGATCATTGTAACGACTTGCAAGATCAACTAGAGACATGTCAAGTCTTTGAAGTCGATGCTCATGTCAGTTCAACCTTCATCCGTAATTTATGTTGTACATGTAAAAGAACGGAACCCACATGTTTCTACAAAATTATCCGAACCATGCGAGATTGAGTTGAAGTGCAGTGTGTGGCAGTCATTCAAAGCCTTGTTCCGAGGGACCTTCTACGAGACCTTTGAAAGCCTTTGCAAGCGGTAAATGTATGTTTTTGATGACTCCAACTCCGACTTGACATCTGTGCAAGAGTTGACGCATTCAGAGTTACGAGTAGGGTACTTGCGAGTGTTGTTCCATGTTGTTTCGTTCGTCTTGTTTATCTTGCACTTGTGTCGCCCAAAGTCCAAAATTGTTCGTCCAACAGTTGGCCGACAAGAATGAATTATGCCATGGGCGGCGCACGGACGCCAACTGCTGGAGATGCAGCTGCCGCGGATGCCAAAGCGGAGGCATGAGCTGAAGTGGTTGTTTCGGAAAGGATGAAGAGGGTGAAAAGGGTGAATCAGGTGAAACAGGTGAAACAGGTGAAAAGGGTGAAAAAGGGTGAAAGGTACAAAGCGTAAAAAAGGTTCTTGTGTTCAAACATAGAGAACCCCGACCCAAAACGTTGGAAACTTTGTGTCTTGGGCTTCAAGTAACCTCACATTTGAATCTTGCATACCTACAGCTGATGGGGCATTGAACATTCGAATGCAAGCTTTCAAGGGTCATGATAAGATCGAAAAGTCCCTGAACAGGATGCGTGAGTCCGCCTGCCTCAGGTTCACGACCGTTGGGCCAAGGCATCCTGTTTTGGCGCATGTGTCCGCTGGCACTCAATGTTGTTTTTGCTGTACTTGCACGAGTTTCCAGGATATGGTTGCCATGGAGGACAGCATCAAGCTAATGTGACTTGGACATCGATTTTTGTGGATGTTGTGCATGGACCTATTGATGACGACAGAACTCCGGTAAAGCATATTGCATGTGATTTGAGTTGAAAAGCATCGTTTTGTGATGTCGCACCCATCCGTATCCCTCCCACCCGTATCCCTCCCGCATCCCTCCGGCATGCCTCCCGTATCCCTCTGTGCGGCATCTAAAGGTTGTCGAACAGACTGCAAGATGCAGAGGACGTCTTGTCTGCTAACACGTGAGCTGTCTATCTTCAAGCGAATTTCCCGTTCAATCTGTCGGCTTGTATTTGAGTTTTCAGTGGTTGTTGTTGCGTGGTAGCAGACGCGATTTGGATTTTCACACATCCTGCTCGGGGATGACTACTTGTAGTCAAGGTCCGCGCGCGCACGTGTGCGCGTGCGTGTGCGCGTGTGCGCGTGCGTGTGCGTGTGCGTGTGCGTGTGCGTGTGGGTGTGTGTGTGTGTGTGTGTTTTTGTTTGTTGGTTTGTTTGTTTGCTTGCTTGCTTGCTTGCTTGTTTGTTTAACAAAAAGTTTGTTTGTTTGTTTGTTTGTTTGTTTGTTTGTTTGTTTGTTTGTTTGTTTGTTTGCGCAAGTATAAACGTGGGAAGCAGGCGGGCAACACAAGGGAAAGCTCCGAATGGAACTGGATGCAGCACAGGCTTTTTCCAACGCTCTGAATTCAGTAGCAGCAATTGCAGTAAAACCCACACATCACTTCCTTGGCAGGACTGCCTAGACTCGGCTTCCGCTGATGTTTCGAAACGCGATTTCCATTTCGATTCGGGAGATCATGACATGCGAGGCGCCTGTGTGCGTGACAGAGAAAGAGTAGTGTGTCGGTGCCTGGTGCATCAATGTAAGCTTGGCATCGAAAAACCAAATGCCAGATGCTCGCCACCGTTTTGCCAGGCTGCTTCACCTTTGTAAGTGCCCTGATGAGTCTGCTCAACGGCCTTGCGTCGCTGGAGATGCTGGGCGCACTAGCGTTATCTTCATTTTCCACCGTGTGAAGTCATGACCTGCCATGTCTGATCATGTCTGCATGTCCTGTTCAAGGAACAACCAGCTTGACATTGTACTTCAACGTGTGCGCAGTGCTGACGAGGCCGCAGCATCAGCAGCCTGCTAATGCCAACCCCGAAGACCGCTTAGATGTGCAAATTCATGCTTGCTGCATTGAGTTACCCTGCCATACGGTGAACGTACCCTGCCCTTCCAGAGCTGTGTTGCCGCCCGTGAAACTTTGAACCCGAGCCTCCCTACACGCGCCCCTGGCCAGAATCTTTTCAGTGGCTTTAAGACAGCGTTAAAATAGAGCGGGTCTATTCGAGGAGCTCACGAAAGATGAGGACTGGCCGGGCAAGACCGTCCTGCGAGGACAGGGGGTCTCTTCTGTCGACTCTGTCTGTTCTATGTGTCGCCCCCGATAAAAACCCGGAGAGGTCTCTGTAACCTGGTCGCTGGCGTCGTGGAGATCATGCAGGGCATGCCTTCCCGTGGGGTCGCTCGTAAACAATAGGCACAAACCACGAAAGCATGAGACTGCTGTCTCCTCTCCCCTCTCTCTCCCCCTCTCTCCCCCCCCCTCTCCCTCTCCCCCTCCCTCTCCCCCTCCCTCTCCCCTTCTCTCCCTTCTCTCCCCTTCTCTCCCCTTCTCTCCCTTCTCTCCCTTCTCTCCCCTTCTCTCCCTTCTCTCCCTTCTCTCCCTTCTCTCCCCTTCTCTCCCTTCTCTCCCTTCTCTCCTCTTCTCTCCCTTCTCTCCCTTCTCTCCCTTCTCTCCCTTCTCTCCCTTCTCTCCCCTTCTCTCCCCTCTCTCCCGTCTCTCCCTCTCTCCCTCTCTCTCTCTCTCCCGCTCCTTGTCTCTCGCTGTGCAAAACTTGAAAAGCTCACAAGACGCGGGCAATGGTCGGTGCTCGATGTGGCCGTGTCCAAGGTGTGGCACGTGCTTCGATCTTGGTTCTGGCTGCGGAACTTGGAGGTGGAGGTCCGGTGGGTTGTCCAAACTCTCCAAGAGTGTTGAAGACTTTCCAAGAGCCAAGGTTTGAAGCACGTGTCGACATCCCTTCATACCCACTAAAGCCATTGAACAAAGTTCTTTGCTTTTGTCCGCTGGCAGGCCCTGAACTATGAGGGGCACGAGCGCTGCTGCGTCAGGTCCACAGCGCTGCTCGCGCTCGGCGTGTTCAACCTGCACCTCGACAAGTCTTGCGAATCTTGCGAATCTTGCGAACCTTGCGAATCTTGCCAGAACCCAAGAGGGAGCCAACCAAAAACAACCAAAGCAATGCATGGGATTCTGCAAGTGCAAGACGAAAGCAAGCCTGTATTGATTGTACCGCCACTTCCCAGAGACCACAATTTGCTTTTATTTGCATAAGCCCTTACTGGTAGCATAAGTCCAGGCGTTGTTCAGCATCTGCAAATGTCCACTAGCGTCACTGTCGCAGTCACGCTAACCAGTTTTACCAAAAGACTTCAGAGGTCGGGCATGGTTTACGTTTACGCTCCTTGCACAAAGATGACTTCGCACAACCACAAGTCCAAAGGTGGGTTCAGAAGCACACAACTGATGAGAAACCAACCAGTCTGAGACCGCCCTCTGTGACATGGCAATATTCGTTCCGAAAGCTTCGTGCAGAGCATCTTGAGCAATCTCGGTAGCAAAACAGTAGCTGAATCCACCGAACACTCGGCATAGGCACTTTGCACTCAGAGCACGTCTGCTGGCAGCGTCCGCGAAAGCCATGAAGACACATGGGAACCCTTAAGCATGTTCTGGACCCAGACCGGCGCCAAGGGGTGCCTACGGAACTTGGGTCACACGGCCTCTTGCATCGCAGAACTGAACAATCGAGAGCGATCTAGCGAAGTGGTCAACAAGGAAATTGAAGCAGGCCGGGTTGAAATTTCGTGGTCATTTGCCACGACGGTATTCATGGATCAAATGTAGCATTGACGGCGAGCGTTGTGCAAGCAAGCGCTTTCTGTAGCGATTAAGTGGGCTACCAATTTACTCAGAGTTGTAAGTACTTTGGCCTCCACTGCTTACAGCTGGGGCTGTAAGCTGAGATCGCTGTGGCGGACCGCCTCGATGTTGATGACCCTCTCGGTGTTTCTTGTGTGCGTATGACCCTCGTGACGTTCCTGAGGGCGTGCCAGCTTAAGACGTCAAGAGGGGCCCCAAACAACGCAAAGCCCAGGTACTGCGCACATGCCGTACTGGAAATCGTGGTCCACTAGGTGTTCTGCACTTTGTCAGGCTTGTGGACGACACGATATTTTGCTGGCACTTTCATTTCACATCCACATATGCTTCTAAAGACCCTCTAATTAACTATGTTGGACAGACAACGAACGAAAGAGAAAGTCATATTTGGCAATTTGATATAGTTTTGCGATTTAACTTTCATCCTCTTCTTACACTTATACAGTCATATCTTCGTGCGACTTCTTTACCAAGGCACGCATTTGGGCGCATTTTGACATTCAGCTATGGTTGGCTTCGTGCATCGGTACGAGGGGATTTGCATTTTGTGGTGTTGCAAATGACGCTTTCGCAGCTTGTCGTCTTACACTGTTTAGGGCCGACGCTGGCATAGTTTCTGGCATAGATGCAGACAAGCATGTCGGCCTGTTTGGCGGTGGCGAGGATGGGTGTGCTTCACATGTAACCAAGCGCAGATGATTCGAGGGTTGGCCCCTGTCGCATGGGCCGCAGTCAACCGCAGTCAACATGCTGCGGTGCCAATTCCTCGTATGGCTGCGGGCTGCGGTTTTTTTTTGTCAAGCGTCCTTCCTTGTAGCCCGAGACTTTAGAGGAGTTTGCTCCTGGAAGCCTCTCCGGAAGCCTATCTGGAGAGGTTTTGGACCCGCAAACACAGGGGTGAGGGGTGTGCTGCTCAGGGATGGCCAGTTTCTTGACGCTTCAACGTAAACAATATGCTCAGGCATTTGTTATTGATGGGGAAGGGCCGGCCTCAGGTTCGTGTCGATGCTGCCTCCGACTGCCATGAAGGCCGCTGGTTGGGCCACTGGCTGCTGGGACGGGATTCACGTGTGGTACAAGCGGCAAGTTGCAGAAATCCATCTTTTTCGTGTGCATCCCGAGACTTCACACCCCAGGCTTTGCAGGCGGTCGAGATGTAGCTTTGGCTCAGCTCCAGTCGTGTTGGGAAGAGGGTGGCATCCAGGCACCTGGGCGAGGTGTCAGGGACTGGAATTGGTGGAGCTGACGCGGTACTTGTGGGTGCTACTACTATTTCCAGTATTGTGCAGCAGTGTCAGTTAGCATGAGATACTGTGGCGATGTTGTCATACACACTCATCCCCTCGATAGCGAAGTAGCGGATCTTGTGCTATCTTGCGAAGAGAAGAGATGAACGTGCAGCCTTCAGTAAAATTGAGGAACGGTTCTGTCATGCTCCTGCCTGGTAGATCGGAACTCGGATTTCTCGTCGCCTTCGTCAAAAGCATCAGGAGCTTTTCACTTCCATTAAGAACTAGCTCTGAAGAACGATCTCGTTTGCTATTGAGTGATACCGGAGAGGAAGTCGAACGTCTTTTGCTTTCTGGCGAGGAGATGAAAGTGCTGCCTTCATTGAGTTCTGTCATGCTCCTGCCTTGCCTGTGGATAAGTAGATCGGAGCGTCATTCTCGTCGCCTTCGTCAAGGGCGTGAGGAGCTTTTTCACGTCTATTCAAAACTAGATTTAAAAAACTATCTCCTTTCCCATTAAGTGATACAGAATCTTCATTCTATTAGGAGGTAATAGGAGGTACATCCGTATTCGAAATATCAAGAGCCTGATGAGCTTTTACGAAATAGGCGCGTTTTGAGATTCGTATTAAGAGATCACGAGCTCTCTCGTTTTGCTTTAAGAGGCCATGACCCAGAAATATTTGCTTCGGATTTAATTCTTCATCACACGTCATATTTCACCCTAGGTGGGAGTACGTATTTACAGCTTATGTATGTCGATTCTTTCAAAGATGCCTACGTGAAGGACCTGCTTTAGTCCTGTGCAAAAAAGAGTGGCCAAGTAGGCTTGAATGGTCCCGGCCACACTCATGTAGATATATATATATATATATGTATGGTACCCCCCCCAGTTATCCACAACTTGACTGCTTGTTTAGTGTTTTTCTTGTTCTGGCACTGTGTGCTTATTTTTTTCGTTGTGGGTTTGTTTGCTTTGTCCCAGCGTGTTGATTTACATTTTCTGTGTTTCTTTATATCTGGTTGACTATCTATATGCCTATATTACACCGGTAGAGACCGGTACAAACCGGTACAAATTGGTACAAGTTGTACCGGCCCCGGCCCCATGGAACCAAGAACCAAGAACCAAGACTGCAGGGACGTCTTGCCCTGCAATCTTGGTTCTTGGTTCTTGGTACAACTTGTACCGAGTTGTACCGGCGTGTACCGGCCTCTATGTTGTCAAGGTCTCTATGTTGTCGAAACATACGGGCCGGTACAAACCGGCACAAATCGGTACAAGTTGTACCGGCCCCATAGAACCAAGAACCAAGATTGCAGGGCAAAATCTTGGTTCTTGGTTCTTGGTTCCAGGGGCCGGGGCCGGTACTACTTGAACCGTTTTGTACGGCTTGTACCGGCCCGTGTGTCTCGACAAGTTTAAGGATGTGAAGGGCTTTAGAAAATTAAATGGGCCGGGCCTTTTCCCAAAATAGCTATTTTGTTGCAATGTTTCAAGGATTTCAGGAATTTTCGGATTTTGAAAAAAACGGGCCGGGCCGTTTCCAAATTGTTTCCCTTTTTCAAGATTTTGCGGACTTTTAAGTATTTTGGTGGCCTTTACATTCCTTCAAATCCTTAATGTTTTGAAAGCCAGAGGCCTTAGGAGCTTAAGGGTTTTAAAGAATTGAAGGGTCCTTCTAAATTCCTTAAAATCCTTAACTTTGAAAAGGGAAACAGAAACATCAAATAGTACATAAAGGTCAGTCGTACACAGGGTTAGAAGGTTCTAATCCTATAGGTAATGCCTCAACCTTAAACCATAAATCTTTGAACCCTATAGGCCGACAGGGCTTAAACCCTATGGCATTATGGGGCTAACCCCATGAGGGCTTTAGAGATCAACCTTTAACCTTTAAACTTTATGGGGTTTAAAGGTTTAAAAACCTAAGGTCTGGGCATGTCTACCTTCAGCGCCTATGGGGTTAAAACTTCTCAGCCTTGTAGAGCCTTCTAGGCTTTCATGGTTGTGACCCTAAAGGTTTCAGGTTTAGATGCCTAAGCCGTATACCCTTAAGGCTTAAACTCTATGGGCTTAGGTTTAAATACCTAGATCTTGAATCGTCAAACCTATTAACTCTATAGGGTTTAAAGGTTAGGGTTCAGGTGTAATTGCTTAACCTTGCAACCCTATGGATCTAAAGGTTAAGGCTTCAGGTTTATCCCTAAACCCTATCAGCTTCAAGCCTTAAACCCTATAGGGTTTCGGGCCTCTCTTTTTATAAGACTTCAACCTTAACCGATAGGGTTTTAGGCAGAAGCATTACAGCGGAACGGAAGGGAGGGGAGGGGAGGAGACAGATGGAGAGGACTCAACATCTCAAGGATTGCATACATTTACGTTATGTAGGGGATTGGGTTATTGGGGTGGGGGGGGGAGTTCAGGGGTCACCGCGGCCCGTGAACGATCTAATTGGCTCGCAACCACAAAAGCGTGGATAACCAGAAACGAGCGCAGATAAATCGGGGGGCGGGGTAGCATGTATATGTCTATGTCTATGTCTATGTCTATGTCGATGTCTATGTATATGTATATGTATATGTAAACAAATTTCACATGTTGGAAGGCGCCGTTTGCTGGCCTGGTGCTCATTGGCTTCTCTGTAGATGTGGCCCAGATCAAAGATGGCTCCGGTGCGAAGGCCATTTCAGGCTCCGAGGGTTGTACGAGTAGCGAATCTTTCTCGCAAGCACCGCCATGCACCTCTCGGGGATTTCTGAGGGATACTCTTGTCAGTGCAATCAGATTTTGACTTTACTTTTTTTCTTTTGGCGAAGCTAATTATTGATGTGAGAATGGACTTCCTTGGGCAAGAGCGCATCCTGAGGTCTCGTCTTTTCTTGGGGAGCTTCGCACAGAGCGTGCTAAACGGCACGCGACAGCGCTTTCCATCCTCGACTGGGCGCCACCTGGAGTACAACAGCATGGTAGCTTTCTGTTTTTCTGCGTGGTCTCCTGAGTAATTGTTTCCTGAATTGTCTCCTAGGTTTGTAGGAGGGTTTGCAAGCCTTGGTTTGGGGCACGGTTCCTTTTCGGATATTTCGGAGTGCGCTTTTCGATTTCACGGACAGGGGCAGAAAGCCGAAGCACATGGGGCAAATGTGGCTGCAAGGAAAAAGGATTACCCCAACGCTTTCTTCTTCAAGGGGCTGGAAAGTGGATATCTCGCAGCTAATCAAGATCTGGAAGGTCTGGACGCTATCTCGCCTGCACCAAAGAAGGGTGTTGTTTCAGGCATGGACTCCTGTGATTGCAAAGTGCCTCCGTTGCTTTGGGCTCTGAAAGCATGTGCTTTTAGGACATAGATTAGAACCCATTCCACATTGGTGCACATTCAAGCTGAACTTCCAGCTCATGTCTCGGTCGTTCAAAAGCGCAGTGCGCAGTATGAATGGATCCGTGTGGCCGAAATTCGTAGAGATCAATTCATGCGCATTGTGCATTGTGCCAAGGCAGACTTATGGCGCAGAGTTGCGTGCGGACAACATCGGACAACACCGGATAACATGGGACAACATCGGACGACATCAACCTGACTTGCGACATGTGTTCAATTAGTTTCATCGTGTTTTATCGTAGCTAGCGCCTGTTGCCACAAAGCATTGTACAGTAACTCAAGTAGGACCTTTCAGGGTGGGGCCAGCAGTGTTCGAAACAGCCTACTACTTCAAGCAAAGGCATTCCGCATCATGTGTGAGCCATTAAGTTAGCTCCGAACCGCCAAAAGCCACGAAAGACCAAGGGCCCCACCCTGTTGAGGATTTGCTTCCTTGCCATGGAACCCGATAGCAATCCTGTGCCAGAGCCGCCCCCTCTTGGCCGGAGTGCTTCAGTGCCCTCAGGCAAGGTGGAAAACCATGGGAAAATGGACATGGAAATCATTCAAAACCATTGAACAAATCAGGGAATGTCGTCTTGGACGTGAAGGGCATCGAGACTTTGAGCCGCTCACAAACTGTGCAGACTCGTGGCTTCCAGAGAATGCAGAGAGTATCCAACTGAATTCCCGCACTCCCTGAGTGCCCCCAAAAAATCGTAGAGAATCACCCCCCCCCAATACCCCAACGCCATATCCCACAGAGTATCCTTGGAGCGTCAACTAGTGTGAGGGTGGTTTTTTTCCAGGAAATGATTGGCAAGGAGTACTCTTGCGATCGCACTGTACGGCCACATTCAAGCTACCGTGTTCGTCCACATCCTACCTTTACGCTTGGCATTGTAAGGTCCTTCAGCATATATGCCGTTTGTTGGAACCAACTTTGTCCAAGAGTCAGGCTTTGCAGCTTATGTTGTGCCGTGGGCAGGTTTCCTGCAAGGGTCTTGCTTGCCGAAAAAGTTTCTTGTACTTTATGTCTTCCTACGAACGCCACACCGCAGCTAGACAGCAGAACCAAAGGTTGTGTGAAGGGTTTGGTAAGCGGGACATGGCTTGGCATCTTAATGACTGTTCTCACTCGCTCTTTATCTTTTTTTTCTATCTCTCTCTCTCTCTCTTTCTTTTTCTTTTTCTCTATCTCAGGATCACCAGCGTGGACAAGCTGTTGCTTGGAAAAGCAGCTGGCGTGATCATGTGAAGCTGCTGTTGCAGAATCCTTGTTGTCGCGTGCATTCGCGTTCAGCCTGATCACATCTATCTGGTCACGCTTTTAGCATGAAATGTTGACATCACCTGTTTTTTTCAGGCTTGGAAAGTCACCAGTCGCTTCCAAAGGTGTCCCTTGTTTGCGATGGTGGCTGTTTGGGACGGATGGGTGTAGCAATTACTTAGAGCATGCATTTTCGCAATTTCTCTCGTGCTCCGCATGGTGCCTTGGGGTTGCAGAGACGGTTTTTTGTGCTTTTTGCAGTGCTGGTGGTGTTTGCCAGAGTAAAATTTTCCCCCCTCAGGGAGAATCAGTTGGGGGGTCCCTTGGACCAGGGTCGCAGGATGTCGCAGGGCCGGAACATGATGTGGGCCTTTTTGCAGCCCCTATG